CCCCTTTTGAATGTCTTTCATAGTTATGTGTAAATCTGTTGACATGGGACTGAAGAATGTCTGTTCTCTGGGATGCCTCTTGGTGGCTGAAGAGATGAGCGCTGGTCTGGTCTGGGGGTTTGGCTTTGGTGCACACCATTTCAGAAAGAGGTCCATTCATTCTCTTGTCGTTTCCAAGTTCAGTTACTCTCTGAGCAGTGCAGCTTCCACCAAACTGTCTATACGTGGACCTAGGAGAATGGTTCCTTTGGGAGTTTCTGATAATTTTTAAATTACGTGTGTGTGTGTGTGTGTGTGTGTGTGTGTGTGTGTGTGTGTGTGTGTGTGTGGAAGAAAAGAACAACTTTCGGGCACTGGTTATCCTGTAGTTGGTTTTTGGGGTTTTTTTTTGGTTTTGTTTTTCTCTTCTCTTCAGGGGTCCTCTACCCAAGCCTCCTTTTATATAGTTTCTCTCATGAACAGACAGAGAGCTACTGGTCATGTGCCAGTTTCTATACAATTGGGGCAGTTAGAGGCACTACTGGAAATGTGGTGAAATGAGAACCAAGGAGTCCAGAGTTCTAGTCACCATTGGTGGCATCTACCATGGTTTCATCTAGGTCCTGGATATGACCACCAGGAGAACTCTGGAACTGGAAGCAGCCAATCAGCTGTAGTGACCTGAGTTGCCACACATGGGCCATAGATGTGGCAAGGTGCTAAGGTCAAATAGGGGCCTGAGCTGTGGAAATCAGGCTACAGGAGTTTAGTGTGATTGCGGAAGTGAGATCAATCCTCAGTCAGTCTTAGTTTTCTGAAACTGTGAAGACAGGATAACCCCTTGCCTAGTGCACAGGGCTCTGTTTGTAGTGCTCTGCCTTCCAGGTAATCGTAGGCTCAAGGAAAGCACAAACGGCAAGTGGGAAGTGACTGTTGAAATGGACACTTGCCTTGAACAGTTACAACCGGAAGCTAAAAAAAAACAAAAACAACAACAACAAAAAACAAAACCCAGATACATGAAGATCAAAAAAATAACACTGGGTCTGCTGGTGCAAGCCTGGAATCTCAGCACAATGGACGTGGAGGTAGGAGTGGCAGGATTATCCTCAGCTACGTAGTACATTCAAGTTCAAGGCTAGCCTGGGCTATGTGAGATAATGTCTAAATTTAGATAATGTCTAAAATAAAAATGATGACAATAATAATAAGTTAAAATGGTAAGTACTAGAGAGATGGCTCAGTCAGCAAAGTATCTGCTACAGGCCTGAGTTCAGATCTCCAGTGCAAGTGTAAAGAGCTGTTAGGGGTGGAGTGGTATGGGATGTTACTTTAACTAGGCAAAGAGGAGTTACATTTGTTTATGCTGGGAAATATTAGTTTAACTATGCAAAGCTGTGTTACATTTTTTTTTGCTGCCTTTGTTAATGATGTAAAGATGTGTTACATTTGTTTCTGCTGCATTTGTTTAACTATGTAAAGATGTGTTGCTGGGTCACCTTGCCTGCCTAAGGCACCTGATTAGTCTAATAAAAAGCTGAATGGCCAATAGCTAGGTACCAGAGGGATAGGCAGGGCTGGTAGGCAGAAAGAATAAATAGGAGAAATCAAGGCTGGAGAAGCAGGACGGGAGAATGAGGGAGAAAGAGAGGGACACGCGCAGGGCCAGAATCCAGGCAGCTGCCAGCCAGACACAAGAAGTAGGAAAAATAGGACATATAGAAAGAAAGGAAGGAAGGAAGGAGCCGGGCATTGGTGGCGCACGCCTTTAATCCCTGCACTTGGGAGGCAGAGGCAGGTGGATCTCTGTGAGTTCAAGACTAGCCTGGTCTACAAGAGCTAGTTCCAGGACAGCCTTCAAAGCCACAGAGAAACCCTGTCTCGAAGAAAAAAAAAAGAAAGAAAGAAAGAAAGAAAGAAAGAAAGAAAGAAAGAAAGAAAGAAAGAAAGAAAGAAAGGTAAAAAGTCCCAAAACAAAATGTAGATGAAGACAAACAGGTTAAGTTATAAGAGCTGGCAAAAAACCAGGCCTAAGCTAAGGCCGAACATTAATAACTAATAACAAGTCTCTGTGTTATGATTTGGGAGCTGGTTGGTGGCCCAAAGAAAAAGCCTGGTACAGTGAGGAGAGCAGAATCACTGGGACTCACTGGTCAGCCAGCCTAGCCAAAAAATCTTTGAGCTCCAGGTTCAGAGAGGAGAAGACAAAATGTGATAGAGATGGACACCAGGTGTCCACACAGACAATGCACACACACATAGACCACATGTATGCAACACACACACACACTGAATGCATGCATGCACACACACATACATACACAGATAGAAAGAACCTTATTTCCATCTGTTATTTCTCACTGCTGTGATCAAATGTCTGACAAGAAGCAGTTAAAGGGAGGAATGGGAAGTTTTGGCTCCACAGGCACCTGCACTCAAATGTCCACATACTCACACACGACACACAAATAAATACACATAACTTTTTTTCTAAGTGGAAAGCAATTGAGGAAGATACCAATCCTGACATCTGGCGCTCTCTCTTTCTCTCTCTCTCTCTCTCTCTCTCTCTCTCTCTCACACACACACACACACACACACACACACACAGTTTTAAAGGCACAAGAAAGAATAAGGGTTATGCACAGGAGAAATATCCATAGGGAAATAATTGCTTCCCAAAGACATCTTCTTGATAATTATGCAAAAGTAAGCAATGGCCTTTAGCAATCCCCAAAATGTCTGCAAAGGAGGTCAGAGTGGGGCAGACCAAGGGTCAGGCAGCAGAAGTGTGCAGTGCTGCCTCCTTATAAGAGAAGATAAGAGGTTTAGAACATGGAGGTGACTGGTCCCATGAGAGAAGGAGCTGTCTAGGTGAAGTGATGGGACCCAGGTCAGGTGAGAGAAGGGAAAGAGGGATGGGCAGACGAGACAGCAGTGGGAACTGCCTGTTTTGAGGATGGTCCTGTGGATGTGGAAACACTTGTGGAAAGAACCCAGCAGAGGAGAGGGAGAGGTAAAAGATCTGGGGAAAGGGGACTAGGGGATATAGATCAGCAGCGGGTGAGAAAAGTTTGCAGGGCAAGCATGAGGACCTGAGTTCAAATCTCCAGCACCCATGTAAAAAGCCAGCCATGGATACCCAGGTGCCTGTAACCCCAGTGTTGAGCTGGGGCAGAGATAAGAGGGTGCTGGTGCGGGCTGGCTGCTGTCTTTGCTCCAGCTTCAATGAGAGACCCTATCTCAAGGGAGTAAGTTGGAGAGTGATACATAGAGGGCAGCCAATGTCCTCCTCTGGCCTCTTTAAATGAGCATGTGGATGTACGTACACACACACACACACACACACACACACACACACACACACTTCAGAGAGGAGGGAAACATTGGTCTCTGGAAGAGGCTCCCATCCAGTTAGGGCAAGGGGAAGAAGGTGTGCCCATCCTTTACCTGTATGCTCACTGTCTGCTTAGTTGTCCTTGGACTGCTGCCTGGAAGCCTGTCTCCACTTTCATCGATGGAAGGCTATCTAGTGCCTCAAGTTACCAAGCTACCAGAGGTCCTTGTGACTCCAAATCTGGGTCCCTACGGTTGGACCTCTGGTTCAATGACTCAGCTGTGGCCTTCTGTACTCTTAGCCCTGAAGGTGGGCTGCTGGTCTGCAGGTGAAGCCTCCAGAGTCAGGCTCTTCAAGTCTGGCTGCAGGGAAAGCCTGCAGGAACAGGAACAGTGTGAATCCGAGACTACTGTAAGCAGGGAGACAGGGAGAAGAGCCGGGCTGTGATCACATGAAGGGCTCTTATCCCTCTCCAGAGGATATCTCCACTTCACCTCACAGGCAGCTCTGGTTTGTCAGGTCTTTGAGTTTCTCAGTTTTTTTTTCCTCCTGGACAGTGTCACATGTAGTTCAGGCTGGCCTCAGATTTTCTATGTAGCCAAGGATGACCTAGGATTCCTGATCCTCCTGCTGAGTTCTGGAGTGACAGGCATGTACCATCATATGGGTATTATGCACTACTGGGGTTGGAACCCAGGGCTTTGTGAGTGCCAGGGCAAGCACTCTGCTAACTGAGCCACACCCCCAGCCTCTTTTCAAGAGAACTTGGCAATGCATCTTATGTGAATTCTCCAGATGGGAGAAGCCTGTGCTGTGCCATTAAAGATGAGTGAGGGGACATGCAGTTGGCCAGCTCAGGCCTCCTGGGGGAGAAACACTCCCCCACCCCACCCCGACTCCCACCCCCAGGCAGGAAACAACTTGTAATGGCAACAAGCAAACAGGGAGAAGCCACTGGGGCTGTAATGGCTCAGAACGCTGGAAGAAGGGCCACCGTGAAAAATGGAAGCTGGAGAAGGGAGAGCCTGTGGCTAAAGGGGGGGGCAAGAACCCAAAA